ATTTAATGCTGTAAAATTACTTGCAAGTTATTTTAATCAGACACAGGGGTCTTTACAAAAAAAGTTCCAAATGTTATTCTTCCTTTCACAAACAGGGAACCCAAATCAGATTAAATAATTTGCACAAGGATGCTTGTGAAGTCTATGTAATGTCTGATCTGGGTTCTATCTTCTGACTAATACTGCTGAGTCTTAACAGCTCCCTCTTCCCTCTGCAAAGCTGCAGGCTTCAGCAAACAAAGCATTCCTTATAGCTAATTGGTATTACATGGAAACTCAACTGCTCTTATTTACAAAACTACAGATTTATGTCAAGCAAAGCCAATTATGCTTAATGTTTAAACTATTGCAGGTGCTCAATGACATTGTTGCTAGGCAGTAGAAGTGAAATTGCTCTTTTAATGCATCTTGTTCCAACTGGGAGCATGTGTTTTATCATCAATGCAAACTTAACAGATGGAGATCTTAATTCTCACCAGAAAGCTTTCTTCACCCTCCCGTACTCAAAATTGTGTCCCATACATTTAGACTTAGCTGGGGTGCTCAGTGAACTGTCTGGGACTTTTTTTTTTCTTATGTGCATACATGAATACAGAATAAAACACACATTTAGCCCTTAAAAAAAAAAAAACAAAAACAGCTATGCCTGTAATCAGCAATGCAAATGGCTATTCAATATTAGTAATGACCTCCTCTGAGCACAACACCTTGTTATATAACTATATGGAATATAACTACTCCAATAGTTATAACCAGAGATGGTAGACAGTACAGAGGCAACTTCTTTCAAGGTCAAGACTACAGAGTCCTTTATACTAATTTGTGTGTTGAGGCAAGATTGGGAAAACTTAGGTAGTACTCAAACTACAAAACTGAACTGGGATGTTTCTGTTCACCCACAGCCTGTGAGTCTCCCTTCAGAGGTAACTTCTTCCACACTATTTCAAAACTACAGTCCTTGATAAGGTTTAAAACACGTATCTGTCTTTACGTTGTACAATTCAACATGAACAGGTGATCTCAAGCACAGACAATGAAATCTGAATGTTTTTCTCTCGTAAAAATTGTCAAAACTGTCACAGATCAATAAGACTGAATAAAAGGCTATTTCAACATTTTGCAGCTGTTTATTACATTATTTCATATGCATATACACTACCTTATTTATTCTCTCCTGTGGTTTTTTTTTTTTTCCTCTAATGTATTAACCCAGATGTAAAAAGCAGCTTCTTTCAAAGTCAAGATTGAACCTACAGATTCCTTTACATTAATTTTTCTGTGTGCTAGGACAAAATTTATAAGATTTAGGCAATGCTCTGAAAGTACAAAGAATTCCATTAGGTTTGTATACAGTGCCAAATGCTCCAGTTCAACAAGCATCCCTGTCTGTTGGGGTATAACTGCTAAATTGCTCTGTCATAACAGTGAGCATGATTGATAGACTTTTTCATACTTCTTCCTCTGCACCACCAGCTGAAATTAGTCAATATCCAGCAATCAGTAGCCCTTTCCAACTACCTAAAAGGCCAAATACTTAACTAAGTCTGATAGAAAAAGTTTTCCTCCAGTCCATATGAAAAAGGCAGTTTTCAGTTGTCAAATATTCATCCCAAAGCCCATTCTAATCCATACAACTCTAATACGTCTTTATGAAGGCTGCCCTTTCTGTTTTTTCTCCATTGCTGAAAGCTTTTTTACATGACTGCATTCTAGGGAGGTCCTTCTTTACAGGGAGTTACTTTTTTTTTTTTTAAAAAAAAACTTTCAGAATGACAGATCTTCATCAGACAATTAAACTTTTTACGTTCTGTGCTGTGATCTGTATTCATATTTTGATTTCTGAGAAAAAGCAGTCTTAGGAAGTCCGAGGCCATTCAGCCTAAGCATGATCAGAAGAAATGCAGATATTCAGAATATGGAACTGAACTCAGGATCGCCAGACCACAGGTTTCTACAAGTTGATCTTATCACCACAGGAGCTAAGTAAGTTTTGCCTCCATTGATTAGTTGGACAGAAAGCATTAAGCTAACACATTAAGAAGGCCATGCCCGCACCCCTAACATGCAGATTCTACACTTAATCTTCAAGAACAGATGAGCACAAAAACTGAATTTCACAGACCAGGTCCCAGAGACCTAAAAAGATTATCTTCTGTGTTGGAAAGGTCTCTCTCCTTGGAGAAACCTGATCAAAACAATGACAAAGTGGAGTAGCCCAACTAAGACTCATAGCTTTATAATATAAAATGCTAAGTTAATTAATGAGATTGTGTGAAATTCACCAACTAGGAACCTGACTTGATGACCCAGGAAATCCTTCTGCTGTTAGGTCTCAGAAGGAGATATGACCAAGTTTTAGAGTTTAATTCTGTATTGAGTTTCATTTCAAAAAAACAAAAACAAAACAAAACAAAAAAACAAACAAAAAACAAAAAAAAAACACCACCTTTTTCCTAAATCCATACTATGCAAATTCAGCATTCTCATCCTACGCCATTCAAAAATGTGAGTCAAATTCCATTTCACACAGTTGACCAGAGAAAAATACAAAACTCAGAAGAAAACTTATTCATCCTGTTTATCTTAGACCCAACAGTATTTGTGCCTTCAGCTTTCTTACCATCAAACGTTTTTCCTAGGAAGTTCAAAGACTGTAAAGAGGAGAAGTACTAACCAGTGATATGCCAGTCTCACACTCCAGGGACAAAGGGACATGCAGGTCATTTGAGAGCATACCCACATGTGCTCAGCACAGCTGTGTGGCATCTAAAAGCCTAAGAAAGAACCTTCTTTGCCAGAGGCAAGTACACCAAACAAGTCTCCAATAATAATAATTTCAACTTCTGTCTTAAAAGCAAGTTAGTTTTCTTGTTCTTCTATTCTTGATGTAAAATGTTATTTTTGTAGTTTTAAAAAAATTAGTACCATTAAGTATTAAAAGCATCTCCAGACCAATTTTACACACTGGCTCAGATCTTAGATTTTATCCATTTGTTACATAGTCCTCCTCCTGTTGTGTACAACCCTAAAATGCATTGACAGGGACCACATACCTCTCTCCAGCAAACTACAGTCAACATTTCTACAACTTTTCTCTGCCCAGTCAGAGATCAAGCCAAGGATTCAGGAGTTTCCTGCTTTATCTTTACAGCAAGAAGCTTGGAGTGTCGGTGGCTTAAAGGTGGGTTCATTGCAATGCAAATACTATTTAGAAAACTATATGCTACAAGCAAGTAACTACCAGGTAGGATGTACAGATTTACTTGTGTATGAAAATTAGCCTACTTCCCCAGTTTCTACTCTCCTTGGAGACTAGTTCTTTTAGCCTTACTATCCTTGTTGGCCAAATGCTCCCTAGGTTGTGCAAACTCCAAGGTCTCTTCTAGGACCCCTGGAGTCTCCTCCTCTTCTACGCTGAAAGCTTGGCTTCAACCAGAGCACCACTCCCCACCCACTGCCCACAGTTCGTGTGCCAGCCCAACTTATGCAGACACTTTTGGGGATAGAGACTGTCTCTTGCTAGGCTAGCAGGACAGGAGTCAGGACAAGGGAAGCAGGCAGCCTTTCTCAGCTCTGTTATCAAGTTATCAAGTCAGAATCCCACATTGATCAGAATGCACATCTCAGACATGAACAATAATTTCAGACAAGCTTGTACGAAGATGCTTGCTTCTTTCATCTCCACCAGTGTATCTCAGGATCACATTCTTATTTACCACAAAGAGAGATATTTAACAAGTTCCACAAAAAATTTTCTTCCAGATGGGTGCCTCCCCTTTCCACAGTATCTGTTGCCACCTTCTGCTGACCCTCATCTCCACTGTCATAAGTTATTTCCCTTGAGACATATGTCAAAAGCATTGCTGAAATCAAGGCAGATCATATCTACTATGTTTTGTTTAGAAAATGAATTCTCACTACATGCAGACATTAAGGTAGCCTGGAAAATCTACCTTTGATACATCTGTGTTGCATTTTATTCAATTTTCCTTTTATCTCATGACTTTAAATATTTTCTTTTAAAATTTTACAAAACCTTAAATACTAGTGAGATCAAACTAACAGCTCTGAGGCTGTCCTAAATGCCTTCCTTCCTACTTCTTAGATGTAGTTACTACATTTTGCTTCCCCCCACTCCAACTCCCATCCTATAGTTGCAGCATGGTTAACAATAGAGAGTTGATTTCCTTCATCGTCATGATTTCATAATTTTCAGCTCAAACTACTCTTTGGATCACTTCAGCAAGTTGTATGCTTTCAGTGTAGTTTCTTCTGTGGTGGAGCATTCCTCATATCCGGCAGCAGTCTGACTTGACTTCTATTTTCAATACAATCATCTTTAGAGTTAAGAATACAATCATCTTTACAGTTAAGAATTCCTTTAGTGTTTGGGTTCAGTATGTTTCTTTATCAGAGAAGGACCCTAATTTTTTCTTCATTCTCTTTAGTAATGACTTTTATAAAAAGCATTAGTAGCTTGATTAGCATCACTCACAATGCCCAAGTGAGACAATTTTGGGAATTTGTAACTTAGCAGTTTCTTAAGATGGAATGCTAATTATTTCTTCCCCCACTTCCAACTGTATCTACCCTTTCCTACTCTTCTCAATTCCTTTCATCCTCTTCACTTGTGCTACAATTAATAATTTTGATCTAAAAAAATTCTAGTCTCCATTTCTCCCACTAGCAAGTTTCCTGTATATCATCCTTTAGGAATGACAAATCTCATCATGCTTCTGCCAAATTAAAGGCTACCTCAGCACAAATGTTTCACAAATGTTTCACAAATTTCAGCATGTTTCTAGTAGATCAAGGCAATTTCCCAAGAATGTTAGTATGCAGTGCCCATTTTCCTGTGGGGGGAAACTAAGGTGAAGAAGCAACTTGATGAGGGCTGGACATCAGATAGAGTCAGACATTGCACATGAGGCTCCCACTTCTCAAATATCAACCAGCGGACACTGCCTCCAAAATTGTTTTCAAATCATATTGTCACAAAGTAATTTGCTAAACAAATGTATACATGAGTTTATTAATTTTTTAACTAAGTACAAATGTGTGAATACCCATCTATTTCCCTGTACAGATTAAAAGCCTATCTCCATCAACCATGCCAAGCAGTGAGCTCTCATTGTCCTCGACATGTATTACGACAGTGCAGCATCCTACAAGGCCAAATCCAATGCAATTTATAAATTTATAAATAATACTATTAGTGCTAACATGATTAATAAATACATTAGCTATTCCACTAAGGTACACTAGATAATTCATCATTAGAAAGCTGGTAGGTAACACAATCAAAATCAAGTCCAACAAGGGGGAAACTTGATCAAGTTGTCTCCACAGGAGACAAAATGGGAGAGCAATCCAGGACACTATCATAGTGCTTGATGTCTTTGTCATGCTTCAGAAGTCTTTCCGCAGGAAGAGCTCCTCTGAACTCACTGGTGTATTCCTGATTCAGATTGTTGTATCTGTGAGGGAGGATATGGAAGGAAAATGCTAAAACAATCTTCCTTTATGGTATCAATTTCACTCATTGCTTATCAGGTAATATTTTGCAAGTTAGAGTGCCATCTCTATCCTGGGTTTCTAAGCAGTACATATTGTTACCCTGTTTTTATTTATTTTACTTTCTTAGAATTGTTCAGAACATCATGATGAGAAGTGCCAAACTGGATGCACATATTAATAATAGTAATAATTCATAATTTAAATAGATTATAAAAAGAAACAACAATATCTGGAATAATACAAAAGATACTCAGTGTTTTGCAAGCATGCTTTTCTCAGAAATTTTAGTCTACTGTAATTCTGATTTTTAAAGGATAATTTCCTCAGTCTTTTTTTCCTCCCCTCTGTAAAACTGCGATCAGGTGAATTTTACTTGGTACAAAATGGATAAAAACATTTAACCTTAAAAGACATATTTCATCTTGGTTTTGGTTGCCTTACTGAAAAGTAAGTACTGAAGTGAAGTGCCAATTTGAAATTAATTTTTTTTAAAAATATATAATAAAATGTAAATAACTTGATATATATATTATATATATTATATTTTTATATATATATTATATATATATATAATACATATATTATATATAATAGGAAGACAAAGAAATTTGTTGACTTTCAAAAACATGTTAATTTGTGGCAAAATTATTTGTTGAGCTCAACCTAATTTTATGACCACTTTTTGACAGCCAAAACCCTTCGGTTTTCAATGGTAAATGATAAGTGAAAATTTAATTTTACAGAAGAGTAAGAACCCATTTTGTAAAAGGACAAGACAAAGTACACAGAAGAGAAACATTTCTAACCATGACTCAGGTCACAGTTAAAAAGCAGAACTGTGAACTAGCTAACTATATAAATGAACACTTGAGCCTCAGGTTACATTGAAGTGATTGAGAAGATGCTACAGTAATCTTTGCTGCTGCAAAGTTAGACTAATAAGTAACAGGAAAGTGGTTTTTTTTGTTTGTTTGTTTGTTTTTGTGTGTTTTTATTTAAAAAAAAAATAGTTCTAGAAGTACAACGCCCTTGAAAATTTTCTGTTATTGTCATTATCAAATCACTACTTTGTCAAGGTTTCTGAAATATTTTCATAGAACTGCAGCCCAGTGTGTAGGAGAGAATGCCACTTGCACATGACCTGGGTTGCTTCCCTCTCTGATCTTAGCTACAAGTATTGTTTATAACACTGACAACAAAGTTAGCTATGATTAAATATTCCAGAATACAGGAGGCAGGCCAACTCAGAAGCCATTCTGGATGTAAAAGGGGAATACAAATGTGAATTCCTTGCATTTTACAGGCAAGATGTGGGCCTTAAGAATAGGTTCCACAGGTGACATAAAATTACTTTCTGTATGGGGGCTGAGCAATTCCACAGTCTGCAGCAGAAAATTGCATTTATCTCATTATCCAGCAGAGCATCAGAAAATATTTCAGCATCACTCTGTTGATACTACTGCACAAAGCATTAACCAGAAGCATTCTGATGTTTTCTTGCAAGCCCCTCACCTACTGTCCAATGCTAAAGATGCAAGCTCACAGGGGCAATAGCAATGTTTACCATATTTTGGTACAGTGCCAAGTGCTATAGGTTTAATCTCATGCCAACATATTTATGTCCTTTAAGAAAGGAAAGAATTCTCTTCTTTCTTGGAGGTATTTTTATTTTGGTATTAATACATGTAAGGCCTCTTAAATATTAAAAAAAAAAAAAAAAGTAATTGGCTTTAAAGTCTTATTGTGATTTTTACTGTGATATCTCTTTCTCTTCCACCAAGGCAGAAAACAACACTGAATCCTGAACATCACCGTATGATCTATCACTACCAATTCCTTATTACACACTAACTTAGAGGTTTCACAAGCATTACTACCCCTATCTACAAATAAAACATCAAGTGTTCATTTCTTCACACATACCTGTGTGCAATGGTCCAGAACCCCAGGGTGTTCACCATCATTAAGGAAGCCAAGAAGAAGAAGAATCTCTCCAATTTACCTTCATGTAGCAAGTGGGGAAACCAGTTGCCTGGCAAAGCAGACATTTGAAATAGAATTAGTTTACCTTGCAGGATAAGATGTGGCTTGTGTGAAAGGCATGAAGATAAGTCTGTATAAGATAGTCACAGTTGTCTTGAACCACTCTGTACCTATTCATAAACAAGTTTTAGAAGTGCTAGAATTAAGGTCTTTATTTACATCTCTCATGCTTTTAACAGGCCCCTTTTCAAAAAAGCATTTTTTAGTGCCTTGGGCGGTACTCCATTATCAAGACACTACCTGACATTTTACTTTACCTTTTATTGCCTTTAACTGAGAACCTGCAACATGTGCTTGTCTTCCACACATTTCTTTTGCACGAATCACAGACCTTTTGCTTACCATGGCTTTAGGCAACAGTGTCTGTGGCATTCTGGCAGCATAGACTCCTTTCAGCAGAGGATAGTGACATATACATATGCACATACCTATATATACATCCAGAACCTCTCATACCTAAATTCTTGTCAGCTTTCCATGTTGCTCCTTACAAATTCAAGCTTAGGTGATAAATGATTACAATGGAAATCAAGATGCTTAACAGGAAAGCAATCCCCAGTCTGTCTACATCTGAAGACAATCAGTACCTGAAGTACTCTAATCAACTACAGTAAAACAAAACTAAGGTGAAAAAGAAACTACAGTAGATACAGAACATCAGAGAAAGGTGTACACTGCCATAATAACTTCTTATGTTATTGGGTAGTACAAGTTGCCTTTGAAGAAGGAGAGACTGTCTTCATTAGCAAGTAGTGAAGTACAACAGGAGCAATCGGCTGGAGCTGAAAATCTGATGTCCACACTACACACAGCTTAGAAGGGTTGTATCAGGCTAATTCCTGTTAACAGCTGGAATGCATCCAGCACAGACATTTGGGGAGTTTAGTTTCATCCAGAAGATTTTTTTGTGGTTCAAGACCACAGTGATGCAAATCAATGCACAAACAAACACATGATAAGGAGATTCAAATCAAAAGAACACTCCTGATCTGAACTAACACACTAGCGCTAATGCACCCAAAGATCCCCTTCTTCGTTCCCTCAAATTCTGGTACCAAGTCCTTCCTATCTACTTAGAATAGCTATTCACCATTTTAACTAGCTTAAAAGGGAGAGGAAGAAAAATAGCCTTCAATGGCATAGCTGTCCCATACAAAGCAAATAGTCTTAACCAATCTTTGGACCACTAATACCATCTTTAGCTATCCAATGCCATTCTTATCTTGTCAATTTATTCTAATTAGATTTGGAGAGAAAGAGCAATCAAAGGATTACGCATACACACATGTACATTCTTCTCTTTTCCTCCACATCTTGGCATTGTAAACACATTTTTTTTCAAAGCAGTTACCTCTAGCTCTCCTGGGATTTACAGGGAACACCTGCCATCGGTGCAGCAGTTTTTTCCCAACTCCTCCGCAGCTTGCTCTGTGCCATGTCACCTTTCTGCCTGTCACAGCGCAGCACCACCTCACCTGCGCATGCAGTGTCTTTTGTAGCATTATCTCAAAGCCAGTTTTAAAACGTATCATTTAACATTGTCGGTCGACTGAGCTCCTATGTGCTATAACTTCATTTTAGTAGCTTATAAACTTTTACTGTCATAATTCACAATCAGGCAGTTTTTCATTTCACATCCCCCAGTGGCCAATAGAGCTCACAGAGAGAGCACGTGTATCTGATGAAAGGGAAAGCATGCATGGGGTTCGGTGCTACAGCTTGTCAAAGCAGAGTTCACACTGTCTGCTAGGTTATTTACATTGGCTAGTCTAACTATATGAGCAGCAGGAGTTTCCTAATGGAATGGAGTTTACAATGGAATCTGAACAGGAAAATATGCAGTTAAAAATAGTTCTGAGTTATATATATTTATATATATTTAGCAGCTTCTAAGAGGACAGAGTGAAATGGACCTTGGAAACTGTTTTAGTACTAGGAAAGGTGCCGCACCAAAACATCGAAAGGGAGATTGGTTGCTTTTATCAGGGTGAAATGGCAGCCTGGGCATTAAGAGATCTGGGTTCTGCCCCCACTTTTTCACTGGCCCCTTCCAGGACCTGGGTCAAAGATGATTGGTCAATAGGCACTTTCATCAGTGGGTACAGACAAGATAAATTTAATAATTTCCAGGTTTAAACCAAAAATATTTGGTTCTCAAATCTTTTTCTTTTTAAAGGCTGTTGGTTTTCCACAGAAGAGGGGGCTGACCTGGACTACATTTTCTTCTACTTATATACATTGTGCAGAGAATCCTCTGCTGGCACGAAGCCTTGGGAGAACAGCCATCCACACTGAAACTTCAACCAGGTGTTTCAGGCAGTGAAACTACATTTAAGCACCTTACTCCTTGCCCCACTAAAAGCTTCCACAAGCCATCTGCAGACCTTATAGGGCACTGGCTGGGGGTTTGGTTCATATTTTCAAGATTTTACTCTAAGCCATTAGCATCGAGAACTTATTGGGCCAGTTTGTTTGTTTTTGACAGAATAAGATGTTTTTGACACTATTGTGTTTGAAGAGTTCAGAACATTCACATCCTTCAATCAGCATGCAATATGCTAACAATTCACTTTTCCCCAAAAGACACTGCCTTTGGGTTCTGTCAATCCTTTACTTTTCTATGGAGATTGCCAACAGAAGTGCCAATTACAAGGTTGGTTTGTCACATAGATAATTGCTCACTGGGAATTAACTTTCTACAACAAGCTCCTGATTTCCATTTTTATTCCAACAATGGAAATACTCAGTAGCATGAATCACCACAGAATCAGAAGTTTCCTTTAGCCAAGTATTTTAAAGAGCCTTTTGCTGTTGGCTAGAGGTGAATTGGTTATGCATTTCATGGCAAATTTAGAATAAATTAGAAGACTAAGCCTGGGGAGAGCCTAAGTTCCTCAAGTCTGCTACCATACATTGTTAAAATAAAGTGCCTGGTAAACTTCCACCGACATTAAGCAGTCCTATCAATTTTATATCAAAAATGCTCAGACAGTACAAGGAAGAATATTATACAACACTGAAAAAAAAAACACCTGATCCTACCAACACAGGCAGAGAAGTAGGTGAAGCAGCAACTGGGACACACACAAGAGCATTTTCCTATGCTGCTTGTGCTGGATGACAAATATTGACAGTCAGATACTTCTATAAGCCATGAAAAGTTCTGTGGAAATGACCATAGCCCAGTTTTTCCACATATACTAGTACACACAAGGGAACTGTTATGATGATGACACCCATGAAGTTTTCAAGGGATTCATAATGAAGCCCAAAGTTACATAAAAAAGGGTTCGCTTTCTGAATATCATCATATTTTAGCATTGGGAAAATCAAGAAGAAAGCAAAAGAAACATAAGACAAAGGTTAGCCTGTTATGTACAATTCCCACATTTAACATAATCCCGCAACCTAGACTGTGACTATAGAAAAATGTAATTCAGGTCTTAGAAAATAATTGTATCTCCTTCCATCACTTCATCAAGTTAGCAGGCATATATTTTGTGTTTAATCATATCCAAATTAAAGTCTCAGACTGCCTCTAATCCTTAATAGCTAAATAGGTACCAGTGGACACCACCATCTGGACTGCAAGCAATATCATCACTGGTATTTAGAATCACACAAGGCTCCAAACTGGAAATAGAAAAAAAAACTTTATCTACATACAAATGTGTCTGGGACAGTTTCCTTCCTCTGAGATTCCCCCCCCCCCCCCCCCCCCATATTTACATTAATATTTTTAGAGAAAAGTGTTTTGAAATGATTGGCATAGCAGGACAGGTTGTGTCTTGCATCTTCTGTTAAAATGTTAGGAGAGGTAAGAGATCCAAAAGAAAGCAGTTTCCCAGCTTGTACTGAAAATATCACTGTCACCCATCATCTGTTTGCACTCGTCAGATTATTTTTTTTTAAAGTCTTATTTTATCGTATTCACACCATCCTCCATAGATGCGTTAAAAATGATTAATGCAGCTTTGACTGTGACTGATATTTGATCAACTTTGCCAATAAAAACCTAAATAAAATTCTAAACTAGTGACATGAAATAGGATATAAAAAGGTTTAAATAATTTTTTCAACATGCTGTTCTTCAAAATATACACGGGAGGATATTCTTCACTGTATCCTGAATTGCTTCATAGCAATCATGGTTGCATTGCTTAGATATGGGAGAACCAGGAATAGCCTTGGCTCAGGTTCTAGTGAAACAAGAATCTTTGGATGAGGCAAAAGCACCCATAGCCCTAGAGTCACATGCTAAACCTTGTTAAGTCTTACAAAAAAAAAAAAAAAATGCATAAACACTCATCTTCTTTCAGGATCATTTTGATCTTTCAGTATAATTAAAACAGTTTTACTTTTCAGAAAAAAATCAGAATGGTTTTCTTACACTCAGGTTTCATAAATTGTCCAGGTACTGAGTGTTTTAGAAGCTCTTAAAACAGAGCTGGAAAAATAAATGCAAAGAGTAAGAGCTTAATTTATGTCATTTGACCTTATCTGGCTTCAGAGAGCCATTTTATTCTCTGAAGTGGTGACTTTAAGAAGTTTTGTTAAGTAACCATTAGTCTTTATAAATTAAATAATTATTACCTTGCTGATGTTAAGATTTTCACCACAAGCATCAAAGAACACCCCATAAGAAGCACAATGGAAGAGTTTGAAGAAATACAGAACAAGTGAATTTCATAGAAAATGTTTTCTTTCAAAGTAGAAGAAAAACAAAACCAAGTCTAAACGTCTCTGGTTTTGTTACACTCTACCCAGCTTCAGAAGGCTGATCCCAGGCCTACTTTGATCTATGACTCAGCAAGACAAAAGTCTCTTGGTGTGAGATCTCTTCAGTCTGGAGGATTATAACAAAGTAAGATACAGGAATATTTCTACTATTATCAAGCTGTGAACTGTGGCAGCTTGGAATAGTTTATCTCACTCTAGCAGGTGAAAACCAGGAAAGAGATACCCAGTGAGGTTCTATGTATTTTTTTAAAAAAAAAAAAAAAAAAAAAAGAGGCCAATAATGTTTGTTTGTTTACATACTAATAGAAGCCTTAGAGGTTACTTTTCCTAACTAGAGGAACAGAGCAAACATGAAACATCTTTCATTATATTTTCCCTGTAACTTTTCATGTTTTGCAGTGGAGTTTCTCTGTTTAGGGGTTTATTCAGTCAACACCTTAATCTGAATACGAACTATTGCTGAATATCTTTGGAAACTCTAAGAGTGACTTTTGCTCAGGATGACAGTGCGGTTAGTACACCTACAGCAGTGGATAGGAATATAGGAGTAGCAGGGCAGGTCTGCCAATATATGCCCAAAGGCATAAGTTAAATCTTTTATTTTTCCCCCTATAAGCTAAGTGGAGATCTTTGCCATACAACTTCTTAAAAGTGAGAAGTATTTTAGAAAAAAGAAAAAATAAAACTTCCCCAGTTTGCTTGAGAATCTTGAGCAAAAAGGGTTAGAACATGGAATTGCATTCTGACAAGTTTATTTGGCCTCACTCAGGATAAAAATTTGAGAGCTCTGGATGTTTCTTCTGGAAAGAAACATTTTCTTTTTGAATAATTAAATATTTTCATATAGACTTGCAGAAAAAAAAAATCAATGATATAGAGTTAGACAAAATCTACCAAATTGTAAACCAAATACAAATGCCAAGTTTCCTCTGGTGCTCTATATAGTACTTTTATATTCTATAAAAGAATAAATGACATACGTTGCACCACATAGTCAAAATGTTTTGATGCAGACATCATGTTTTTTTTTGTGTTTTTTTTTTTTTTTAATAACTTTTTAATTCTATCAAAAATAAAAATGAAGTGAAATATCAACTTTGGAAAAAAAAGTTTCAATTTTATCAAAGTTAATAGCTTCCTTACTTTTTGGGGAGAGGAAAATAGAGGGGAAAAAAGTTAACACAATCTTTCTCGAAGTGCTAATTTTGTTGAACCCTCATTATTCAGTGAAAAATTTATTCTACTATGGAAATTCAAGCAACTCTGCTCTCTGCCATGATGTCTTAGTACTTAATGGTTCTTTGCCTGATTCATTTGGGTAAGCATTCCTGCTTTTTAACCATCTCCAGGTGATGCTTTTGTGCCTGGTATTTAAAGTATTTAATTGAAGTGTGAATTTAAAAACGGGCCCTATTTCAGATATGTAAACAAAGGTATCCTTGTCCTTCAGCTCAAGGACTCAAGTGCATTATTTTTTTTATTTACTTCTGAAACAAGTCTTCTATGTATTGAAAGAAGACTTATCAGCAAAGGGAAAAAAAAGCTTAAACCCTTTGCCTTTCTTCAAAGTCAGCAACCCAGAGAAGTTTCTAGTTCAGGGCTTGCACTAAATAGTCTTTAACAGGATGAATCTGAAATAACTCATCTTGAAACATCAATTTATCTGCGAATGGAATTATTTGTCTGGAGAAGGGTGAAAACAGTGAAACTATCTTGTCACAGAATCTTGTTCTTCCAGTAGCTGGGGAAAAGAGTCCATTTGCTAAAGCAGTAACCGTGCTCTTGTGGCCAGCAACTTCCATGTGAGCCTGGCTAACGTGATCATACTTGGCCATGAACATAAAAAGATGGATACAAGAACATTTATTTTCTTGTGTTCCAGAGAAGTATAGAGTTTAGAGGTGAGGGCTTCCTGCATGGTGCCACTCATTAATTACTCCACCTACCAAAACTAAGATAACTCATTAAAATTGGATGAATACAGCTGCAAGGCTATTTCCTATCTTAATTCCATCTTAATTGTGAAAGCAAATCAACTTTGGCATCTCCTTTAATTCTGATGTCTAATTCTCCAAATCAATAATCAATGGGATTAGCAAACTGCTCAGGAACACCGGTCATGGGCATGTTCTTACCTTGAGTGCCTGTGTGGGCTGTCTGAACAAAGAAAGCTCCCAAAAAGCAGCCAGCTCCATTGAAGAGAGTTAAAAAATGCATGGAAATACCTCGAATTCTTTCTGGCACAAGCCAGAATGATAGCAATGAACCTTTAAAAAGGAAGCAAATACAGTTACAGGTTGTTTTTGCTGTTTTTGTTTTAAGTAATAGTAGAAGATCAATGGATTTTTTTTTTTTTTCCTCTCAAAGTGGGGACTTCTGACATTTTACCAGTAGAACCTACCTGAAGCAGAAGGGCAGTCATGCATAGGTATGTACACTATTAAAATGGATTATCTAAACTGTTCAAATAAATCTCCGTAATAAGCCACCCTATATACCACTAATGATATTCACAAGCACATAATTTTTTCACCCAGTCACTTTCACCTTTTAAAAACCTGAAGCATAAGAAGATGAAGAAAACCACCATCACAGTCATGAGGGGTAAAGAAAGAAGATAGGATATTTAACTACAGGACCTTACATGCAAGAGCCAATGCAGCAAGGCCACTGGTGAATGCTTCTGAAGTTCAGAGCATGCCTTAACTTGGGTAGTTAATTTGCCTTAGTTAAAGCTGGATAAAAATCCCCATACAGAAACCCCACAGGTCACTAGCTACTTTAAGAGCTGTTGTCTTTCTTGTCAGAAGACTAAACCTGAAAAAGCACCAACTTGGGGGGGGGAGAGGGGGGAGGGGGGAAGGGGGGTAGCTGTAGCATGCGATAGTAGTATAGATAACTATAGTCCCACCAGTTGTAGTTCAGCTAAACTAGGTTAGAGTAACAGTAAGCATTTCTAACAGCTGTTCTCTTTGAGCAGCTTTCCCTGGTCAAAGCCTCTCACTTCCTAATTTCACAACTTGAGCTCTCAGCCACGCTAGCTTTCCAAGCCCCAAGCCCCAAGCCCCAATGTCTCCCAATCTGCTTTATTACTCAACTTTGAATGACCTCCAGCCTGAGAAACTTGTTAGCAGAGAAGCCTATTTAGATGCTGAGTTGCCTGAAGCATTACTGAATACAAATCAAACTTGAAAATTACCATCTCCCACCCTTTTTAATTTGGATGTCCAAATGAGAGCATTGGAAACATTAAAAAATTTTTCAGAAGTACCATGGGCAGTGCATTTTCCTCATTCATAATTGGAACCAAAAGCCTGAGGACAAGAGAAAACAGGTGAGCCTAGGACACCATCTGTAGGAACAACAGTATGGTCTGAAACATTGGACAGTCAGTGTCCTAGCTACTTTAAAAGTCTCTAAGAGCCTAGAAGGTGCTGGGCTGTGCTTTTTGTTTTTTTGTTCCCCTCATTCTCCCCCAAACCAGGGGTGCAAAGCATGCATCTTGACCAAGTTCTGCTTGGTAATTATACCCTACTTACATAAATTATCCCTGCTGTTTCAATTGCATACTCTATTCCTCACTTCTCCCACAGTGCTGCTGTGAACTATTAACCAGCTGCTGCATCTCACCCTGGAGATTATTGCACTTTGTTGGTGGGTGAAGTGATCCCCAATATATCCTTTAACTAACAGAGCACTTTGTTATAAGGCTTCCCATTTCTAACTGCTTTGAGGAATGATGACAGGCAGAAATGTTCTCTCTGGAGAAACCTTCTAACCCTTTGTAGGGCAAGCAGCTACAGTGCACCTGATTGCTTGGATACTGGCAGTGCACCACAGCTGCTGTGGCCAGCAGAACAGCTCCACATCACCAACCTCATGCACTGTGGTAGCAAATGCCTGCTGCAGTGTTCCACCAGACAGACAACACTCCCTCAACCCCCTCTTTAATCACTAGGCTTCAGGAAAGTAATTTCCTTGTTCAAAGCAAGCTATGATTGCAAATTCAAGCTGTGTTATCTTAAATTCTAACACTGTGAAGGAGAGCAGTTCTTTATCATTTTATTTATTTCTTTAAAACAGAACTTCAGCATTAGCAAAACATTAAAATAGTGGTATTATGTATTCTTAAAGATGCACATGCTACTCAAGGCAGGTGATTATGCAAACCTCCTATCAACAAGATAATGAAATAAATCATATAAACACAATTGTAAGTATCAGAGCTCAAATGCAGATAAAGAGTTCAATATGTCAAATCTAGCTCCTCTAACTAAGCACTTCAAAACCAAGATACTTCTTCACTTCCTTCTAATTACAGGTGTGAACATTTCTGTCTTCAACTTGGATCATGTACTTCCAGGCCAAGTAAATTATTATGATAATTGAATTTGACCTTCTGCATAATACAGCAGTAAAATGTCAGGAAAGGTGAAACAACTATTTCAGTGTCTAGGCTGTCATTAACATTGATGCAGATTCAGTGAATGGTTCCTCAACAGCAATTCAGTTCAAACTGAAGTAGAAAACCAGAGCTCAGTTTAGTTGCAGGAATACAGACGCCCACTGCTACCCAAAATGCTCAAGTGTGCCTCAGCAATCTGCATGGGGCTGCCCCATAAGATGCAGAACATATTGCAGAACTGTGCTCTACTCTAGCAGCAGCTGGAGGCCAAGCTGGTAACATCAGGAGCCTGCTTGCCCCATGTGCACATCTTTGATGCTCCATCATAAAAGGTGCCAGACATCTACCTGTGGGCAAATTAATGTAGGCCTGCATCTCCACTGACCACAGTACTACTACAGAAGTAACAAATTTCAGGTACCTACCTTTATTTTTTTTCCATGCAAATCTCAAACTCAGACTTAGCCACAGTGTTCTTGAATCACACCTATAACTGCAGCATTTCGTAAGATGCTTAGTCTTTATTTTAATAGGGAATGCACTACTTTGCTTCCTACCACACTCTAATGATAATCTTTAAAAAACAAACAAACAACAAAAACACAGTATCAAGCCTCTTCTAAAGGCTAACGTCATTTTCCAGTCATTGAACTTTTGTTCTGTCCCATTGTACTAGATAAGAGCCTTATTCTAACAAATTTTATTTTCATGCAGAAGCATGAGAAGACTGTAAGCAAGCTACCTCCTACTTTTTGTTGATGTTAAGCTAAACAGTGGTCACTTTTTTTTTTAAAACTCAGCCTGTAACCTAGAAACCACATAACTTGTCAAGAAACCTGTCTCTGTAAAGTACTTCAGAGCTACCTGATGAAGAGGCATTATTGAAAAGTGTTGAGTATTTAAAACTAGGGAAATTACCCTTTTAGTGGCAGACCATGACCTGCTCTAAGTAGTCTTACAGTATAATAATGAAGCTAAGATTTTTTTTTAAGAGCAGAAAATAGATTTGAATATTTCTGTGGTTGTACTGGAACAACAGACACTCAACCTGTAAAATTAAATGCTTATGGAAATCAGCTAGTTCATAACTTTACCTGTGCCTATTTAAGTGAATGTTGATTAGATTAAAAAAAAAAAAGATCAGTATTACAAAAGTAACCTCTGGATGGTAGAACACTAGTAAAGACTGTGTGCTCCTTAGGAAACAAATGTCCGGAATGCTAGTGCAGTTTTGGAAAGATAAGTTATAGAAGGAAAAGAAGGTTCATATTTGTAATCAGGAGTATGTCTACATAGTTTATGGGTGGTAGGTGAGAGATAAGCTGTGCCTGTGCTCTGCGAAACAGGAATGTTTATCTCTAGCTCCATTACGTAAACTAAGACATCACACTCTGTGTAGGCATCTTTACATGACTCCTGACTGTAGCACAAACACAAGTCCTGCATCTACCTACAATATTCCTCAAGTTCATGTCAATTGAATTGTGGTACCCACCTGCATATGCTCTATGTTAATAAAAAACAGTAATTTTATTAGCTGGGTTCTCAAATGAAAAGGGTTAAGCTAAATTACTTCACCTTGCTTTGCCTGTGGCCTGAAAGGGCTCAAAGACTATAACAACAGCTCAATTGTCACGCATGTGTTTGTTCAGTCTCAGGAAAATCAGTTACAAAATAGTTGAGAACAGAAGAGATGAAGAGACCTCAGGAGCTCATTTGAATCATCCCACTGCCTGACCAGCTTCCACTTCAAGTTCTAGATCCCACCACTCTCATCATCTCCTTCTGCCCCTCCAGTGGTGGATTACATCTGGCTGGGCTGCTACAGAACCTTCCAGTTAATTTGGAACAACATTGCTCACTCTGCATTACATCCAGCAAGACAAACCATGCTACTTCAAGCAGGTAGAGCATAAATCTGCTCATTAAGCCTGTGGAATAGAGTCAGGGATAAAAACATTACATGATAGTCTAATTACTTTTAAGAATTGATATCATTCTTTGAGAACCAGGACACACTGGCTATAACCTATTAATTTTTACTTACAGGAAGGTGTTACCAAGGCTTCTGCCACTCCGAGTAAGACATACTGAGGAGTTAGGTGGAAGCAAGGCATGGAGGAGACCAGGAGAATCTCCTCGGAAAGGGTCTGTTCCACCTGAGGGAAATGCTTTCGGTGTATTTCAGAGAAACCAGCAACCATCACAGAAAGTGCAGCAGATAACTGACCTACAACTGGGTAAAGAGCACAGAGAGTATTCATTAAGTTTACAGTTACAGGATTACCACATATTTACAGTGAGTCAGAGACCCAGTGCATGCATAAGTAGTGTAAGATTTTTTTTTTATGTTGTTGGTTTTGTTTTAATTCTCTGCACAAAGAAACAGATTAGAAAGTATGTCCTACACCTGCAAGCTTAATTCTAAATCTATGTTAAAAGGACAGCAGCTCAGCACACAAAGAATGTAGTGATGCAGAACAAACATGAGAGGAAAAACCTCTCTGAAGAACAAACTCAAAAAGAAGATTTCATAACTATAATTTTTAGAGACTATGTGAGTTAAGAAGAGAAGAGAACAAGAAGGGAAGGCAGTTTTTCCAGATATCACAAAGGATTGGGTACCAAGAGCAGAGGGAAATTCTCCAGTTCAAGCAGCTGTAAAATTCTGAAATATACATATACACTGTATGCTTTATCCCTTTGTTTTCTGTACAAAAAATAGTAGTCCAGTCACTTAAGCTACTAAAGTTGCAGGCCATCGTAGGTGGGAGAGAAAAAGTTAATCACTGCAGACCACATATCAGGAGATCAAGTGTTCCTACATTTTTCCCTTTCCCTCCACTACAGAGTTCTCCTGACCTGTGTTTGAAAGTGTTAATGCATTTGATGGGCTGTTTAACATCTTAGGATCAGCTGCATTACTAGAAGAGAGAATCTTCTGCTTTTTAAGTGCTTGCACCTAAGACATTAGTTGCCTCTTTTCTTCAGTTGTGCTGAAGTATCAGCGCATGATCCAAAATACCTTGTTCAATATATTACTGTACATGCAAGTCATGGAGTGATACCAGCTGCCTTAGTGGTAAGGCATAAGTACCACACAAGCACAGGAACAAAGGACGGGGAAAAAAGCTGCATGTGTAGCCTCAGTGCAAGACAAAATTTCCAATAAGCTACCAAAAGGATCTAGAATTGCTTTAACCTGAAACATTTAACTTTCGAATGTTTTGATCTCCCACTGATTTTGAATAACTTTGCAATTCCTCAGCCCTTAAAAGCTATGATATAAGTACAGACATGAGGATTTGTTTTCTTTTGACAACTTTGGCTCAAATACCCAGACCACATATTGTTTCCCTCTTGTCTTAAGAGGACTCATCTCACTTAATGACTGGTAACAGTTACACTTATTAGCTCTGACATTGACAATCAAAAGTTTTGTTTCATTTTACATTTATAATATGTACTGAAGTCTGACTCTTCGGGCATTAGGACAGAAGGGGCAGAAAATTCAAGGCTAAGGCTCCTTAGCTATATGCCACCTTTGTGTGGGTACCATCAGCCTGGAAAATATATCAGCTACATTTGTGTTATCAGAAAACCTGCTGGAATTGGAAGTTTGTACGTTTCCCTCCTTTTGTCATTTCTAGACAATGGAGCCCACAGTTCCCATGTCAGAAGTTATGTGCTTCTCACTTGGTACTAATAAATCTCTCCATGCTCCCACAATTTTTATTGTTTTTGTTGGTTGTTTTTGTTTTTAAAATGTCTAGCTACAGTTTCAGTAAGAATGATCTACTCCCTTAACTCTCCATGTCATCACAAAAGCATCAACATTGGCTGTAGGGAAGCAATGAAAGGCCTGGCTATAGGAAGAGCAAAGCTGCAGCAGTCCTGTGGTCTTGAGCTACCAAACATGTCCTCCTTAGTGAACAAATTGACTGTAACTGATGGACAGCTATCCAGCAAAGACATGATCCATTCTCTGCTGAATCTTCTGTACTGCTGGTTAAATCAAGCAGCATAACAATCTAAAAAGTGGAAAAGCCCTAAATTTTCCAAAAACTCATTTTTCATGTCCAAATACTCAATATATTTACAACACAATCTAAATTCACTTTAAGATTTTTCATATTTGTTATATCAAATTTACAAATAAACCAGCAATTTCAGAGAAAGTAACATAGATTGCAGTTTTCACATGGATCTTATTACAGAGCAATCAGATAGTTCAACATTGTCGCATGGCTCATCCTTGAATAATTTCCTGAAACTTTCAGTATGTTAAGAATGTAAGTCTTCAAACTTCCTTCTATTTCAAAGCTTGCATTAAAGTGTAGTTGTAAACTGGCTTAACACCAACATCCTATTTATACTTTCATTTTTTTTTCCTGAAAATAATTGTGAACCTAATTAACTGTTGGCAAAAATACTGGCACTTAGAGGTCTACCATATTTGCAGTTGCAGTCATATGCTTGGATATCTGAAGTCATTGCCTGTACTAATGGGTATATTTTATGCCTCAGGTAATTTATCACCCCTAACAGGAGGGTATTTTAATAAATGAAGCTATTAAGGATAAACCACTGCATATATTCTACTTCTGTTTAACATAACAGGATACAACGTTAATAGTAACTTGAAGTTTCCTTGGTTTTAAGAAAAAACTATAATCTGAATGTGCTTTTTGTGGTTTAATGCAGATGTTATTTTAAAAACTAGGGTAATTGCAACCTGCTGAGTTATATGCATCTGGTTTATATAAAACTTAATAACACTCTTAATTAGGCTAATTTAGTCAGATTAATACCTGTGTGTGTCAGTACTCACTGTGTTGCTTGCCATGGGGCACTGAATTAATAGTAGCACACTGAGAAAATAGTCGTTTATAAATATTTTTGTCTGAGTTTTATAATGCAGGCCAGATGATAAAACATGTAGGAAGTTTAATGAGTATCTCCAAAAAAGAATAGTTTTAAGCAAATGTAGAATAGAAGCTGCTTTTCTAGTAGAATTAGATGTAGCTGATATCAGTAGGTAAATGTGTAGGATCCCTCCAGATCCCAGAACATCAGAGGTCTGGGGTCAGGGACAGGGCAATAGAAGGACAGTAATGTCAAAGGAAAGAAGCCCGACTTTGTAAGGCACCACCCATATTAAAGCCATCATTGCTTCTAGGCTATGAATTTCTGTGAGATGAGCTCCAATCCACAAGTCTGAGCTTACATGATTACTGATGAAAATGTTGGAACTAATAAAAGAGAAGACTTCACACTATTTCTATGAGAAAAAAATAACACTTCAGCTCTGGAGATCCCCCTCTGCTTCACGTTATGGAAGTGAAGCATGCAAGATGTGTTTAAGTTAAGTTTCAGTTTAATAATTTTATTAAAATCCTGGACACCTAGACAAGTACTCCATATTGGATATTCAAATTAAAATTATAGTGCTAGAGAAGAAGCCTGCTCCTCTCCAAGACATCTTCCATTTCAGATGTTGAGCCTGCTCACTGAGAACAGCAGCCCAGTGATACACATTGGTTTGTTTTAGACAACTGTCTGTATGTTTACTATTGCTTGCCAGTTCTAAAAACACATATTGCAGACAGAACTAGACAAAAGTTTCCCCTCCCCCCCCCCCCCCCCCCCCCACATTTTGGATTCAAGTAAAGAGTCTAGAATGAACTATAGTGATGACAACAGTTTCTTTCTTAAAAGCTGCACTCCTAACGTAAAGTCATAGCATAAAATATGCAAAGATAGCCTCTTTATGTAGCTTAATTAATCAAATTCACCATTTTAAGGAACAGTACCTTTCTTAAGATATCAGAGAGCTACTAACTGAAAGAACCCCTTCCCCATCAAAAATAAAAAACACACCACCTTCCAAAGAAAATAAGCTTTCCAAAATTAAAGGCTATGTAAACACATAGAAGATAACCAAGTTGAAGTCCCAAGTTAAAATGGTTAGTACTGTTTTTCTCACCAGCTCCTCAAGGTGACTTCTAACTATTTTCAAGTGTTTGTTTCAATACCTTGTATTGGTCAGAAGAGTATTTATCACCTTCCTAAACAGGAGTTATTTTTTCCTTAATACCATTTTTTTTAATAGGACTGTTTACTACATTTTTTTTTTTTTTTTAACATTCATCCCAAAGCCATCCCAAAACAAGTCTAGCTTAATATCTATAATTTGAAATAATTGTATAAGATCATTATCACCTAACAAAGTTTCTCTTCCAAGAAATAATGCATATAAAAACTGTGTAAACACATGGATTTTCTAACATACCAATATAAATTGTAGGAGAACATCCACTTTCCTTGGAACTGAAGAGACATGAGTTAATGCATTCCAAAATAGGAACAAGAATCAGTAGTGGCACAATGCTTATTACATTCATTGCTGCAATTGGCAAGACAAATCCACTGAAGTTCAAGTTGGAATTCATGGTTTGAAGATAATATCCTGACGGAATCTGTATTGTGGAATACAAACCAACTTCATTAGTATACCAGTTACCTTTCATGGATAGGATTGTTATGTTTTGAAACTTCTCTAACCCTTTTCCTTCTGAAAAAGTCAGAAAACCAACTACCTGTTGACCAAATGGAACAACCATGCATGATAAAAAGACTTTCAAATGGTAATATTCTCATTCTCTGCTAGGATTTAACATTAACTTATTTCATTTACTCCTCACTTAAAAAAAAAAAAAAATAAATCTAAGCATCAGCTTGTCAGTTCATATTAGCTCTAACTAGGAATGATCAAATACGCTATCAGTTAACACACTAAATAATTCTGCTCAGTGCTTTAAACACTCTGTGAAGAAGTCACTAACAGAACAGAATTCCCTTTTCATTTGAGAATAGCAAGATACAAAGATGTTTTGAATTTCTAATTGTGTGCTCTAGGTCAGAGAAATTTTTAGACACTCTTGCCAGCACATGGCTTTAAAAGCTACACGGATTTGACCACAGTCTTAGAAGCAGCTTAGTGTGACTGACAGCCATAGCAGGTATACAAAGGGCTTCATTTTACCTCTGGAACTTAAAACCAGAAACCAATCATCAGAAGATGAGCAACCCACCAATGGCGGTCATCTATGAAGTTATGTAGACCATCTCTCACTTTAAGAGCGAATAGCTCTTCCTGCTTGTGTGAGCCTACAGATCTGTTGAGTTTATTTATACATGTATAAAAGCCCAAATTTGGTTCTACCAACCAATTTTTCTGCTTGTGTTTGAGGAAGTTTGAAATTTCAATGCTTAATTCACCATGTGAAACACACAGTTACAACCCACTCCATTTCACAGACCAATGGGAAAAAGAGGTAACTTGAGCAATTCAGTTTTGACAGAGCTGGATGTAGAACTGATTTCTGTATTCTCATTTCTGCTTTCAGTACACTATAGATTTCTGCATATCCTGCATGGCATTTCAGCATGACTGGCAATGACAAATACAGTTAGAATATTATTTATAGCTGTCTGAAAATTCAAGTATAGTTTATAACGCAGTTCATCAAGGGTTACCCATCAACAGCTATATTCAACCCCAGTCACTGGAAGTCTGTTCAGTGACAAAGAATTACTCAAGTGCTAGCTCTTAATAAAAATATTTTCACTTATATTTCACCTCTAGAAAGAAATATAAATTGTAAAAAGGATGAATAAATGGCAACAGAACTGTGAAAAATCAGAACCAAGTCAAATTTTGCTGGTTCCTCATTTCCATTTCCTATTGCAAATCAGAATTGACTTGACTTATTAATAGGAATTAAATTATCATCAATGTGAATCACAGGCAATGAAATCCGTTAACTTAATAATATGTAGAAAATATTAATCTTTATGAAAAAAAAACATTGATCAATTGCCTAGTTTAAGAAAGAGCCTTAGACGTAACAGAAATTCTGCTGAAAGTACTCTTTCAGTAGTGCAAATAGTCTTCTCTTTCTGAAATATATTCCCGGATATTACAGCTCTGATTTACTGATACCCGGTTTTGTTTTTTTATCTAGTCATTAATGCATCACTTCAGCCACGGGGGGGGAGGAGGGAGGGGATATATATATTTTTTTCCCTCCTTCCCTTTCCTCTCTTTTAAATTCCTGGCATGGATGGGGGAAAAGAAGAAAGAATGAGGCAGATGGATAGGAATGTAGAATGATGTCAAGAAAGTGTCAATAAAACAGTATGTGTTACATATTTGTAAAAATTTCCTTAAGCAGCCTATGCACACATTTTAAAACGAATAAGTAAAAATGAATTACTAAACCAGCTCAAATTTGTTATGCCAGTTGCCAAAAGGTAAGCTGCTTCAAACTCCTGCTTAGCCAGGATCATCCAGTCAGAAATTAATCTGAAGGAATCATGTCAGCTTAAGTGACTTCCTGACACATTTACATTACATACACTCAAAAGTGGAAAGAGTCACATAACCTGGAAGAGAGGCTTTGAAAGGACTGTTTCTTTCCACAAATGGAAAACCATGCATGTACAGCATAGGTACACCAGCTGCATAATCCCACCAAAACAGTAGATGAAATTCGCAACTAAAACAGCAAAGAAAGATTTATGTCTTGCCCCAAAGTGAGTAAACATTTGAAAAACATAATTTCCCAGTTTCTTAGAAGAATGCTGAACCCGAGTCTCCAATAACATAAAGCAGTATGAGGAGCACAAGACTCCCTAGCACTAGGCGTTTCAACCAATAAGGATGCATATAAATGAGCAGCAAGAAGCCAAACAAGCTCCTTCACAAGTCTTGATGAAGGTGATTTTGCTTATTTAATGAGGTTAGAGGAAATAAAGTATCATCTCAGACAATTAATACTACTCTGGAAAGTGGTTCAGCTGGCAAAGAAACAGTTAAAAAACATGCCTGGAAACACTGTACTAAACACATTAATCTTTACCAATTTGATTTTATTTTTTTTTAAATCTGTTTACTCACCTGCATAATACACGTTCTGTATAAAATTTGGAAGGCAAACAGTGGGAAAAGCCTGGCAAGTGACTTTGTGCTTTCCACCTGAATCTCGCTGTAATGACCACCATAGTTTTCCTTGGCGTGATCTAGCCAGTTTGTTACACCTCCACCAAAGTAGCGATACCGCACACAGCAAGTTTTCAGTGCACTAGCAATTACCCCAAAAGTCGTCAGAAGGGAACTGTCTGAAAACAGAGATATTAGCCATTAGTTTATTTTTATTTGCTGTCAAAATAAACAAGACAAACAAATCACTTTGGAATATAAAATATAATCCAACATATTTGCCCTTATGTCTTTTGGGAAAGGGGGAAGAAAATAAGTCTGGATCTGTTCAAAAGCATTCTGTTTTGAAATCATTTGATTCACTACTTAAGAGGAAAAAAAAAGTAATCTAGCTGAGCATCCACAGAAACAGAAGAAAGTGCCTTTTACTAGCAGTTACTTAAGGCACCATGGCAATTTGTTTTTGTGGTTGAGAAGGTAAAGTATTACCCTCCTTTGCTTTTGCTTTCTATCGATTGAATGATGTTCGTTTTCAATTCAAGACAACAATGAAATATTGCATATCTGCTGGAGTACAGCAAGGAGACAGCAGTAACAAAATGAGAAGGAAAGGGAGTCCTAAACAGAGCTGATGGGATAGAAAATCTTGAGGGATGCATTTTAAAGCCGGAAATGTTATCTCAGGACTTGTAAGTAGCACGCAGTGGGAGAGGAAAAGTTTCCAATGTATTTTATTATTATTATTTTTTTCATATTAAGATTTGCCCACAGGTTACTGGGCTTGGGAACTGCTTACTTAGTCCTGAGACAGTAGAAACAGAAATAAAACATGGTAGCTTTGGGCTCAAAGACGCAGACTCATTTACTTTTGGTAAGTTGCCCATCCATGAGAGTTGGGGTTGTAGCATGTCTCTCTGCCTTTCTGAAGTGTTTAAACACTAAAGTTTTTTTTTTTTTTTTTAAATACATGCTGTCTAAACATTAAGGTGAACCAAAAAGATGGTAGAAGAAAAAAAAGTGTCTACACTATTTCTGGTGGAGAATATATTTACTAGAAGTGTCCACCTAACACCTATTGTAAGTTCTTCAAATACTGAGAGTACCAAGGTAAGGAATTTAAATATAAATGTAATTAAACTAACTGTTTGGCATTAACCTGTGGACTGTTGATGTTGTTGAATGAAATCTGAAATAGAGAGCATTATCAAAACAAAAAGTGGATACAGATTTTACTCTGTGACTGCACTAGGCAAGTATTCTTACTGTTCACTGTAAACGTTGCTAGAGTTTAGGATTTAGAATATTTCAAAAATGAACCTTTCAAGAATCAACCTGAAGACAAAGTAGTCTTTAGTCTTCCAGGATGAATTGACTAAGAAGATAATCAGAAAATAAGTGGGGCTTAGGGATCTTAAAGTCAATTTGTTTTCAGAAGTAAAAAAAAAAAAAAAAAAAAAAAAAAATGGTAGCAGAAAAAAATCTGTATCAACTCAAATTATTGGCATAGCTAGTAATTACATGGTTTTGGTCAAAGGAGTGATAGTCTCTTGCTTCATCCTCTGTGACAGGCTGAACATTCATGAAGAAAGAATTAAATGCAGTTATGCAGTGCTATTACCACTCTATGAATATTTGGACCCAGTCAGAGTTGAAATTAGGATATGCTCAGAGTACCCCCAAGCAGATGCAGTGGATTTCTCAGACAAAGCAATGCAACAGCTCTGTCCTAGTCTCAAATACAGTTATGACCATCTCTTTTCCTTTGGATTGGAATATGTAGGACAGGTTCTTCCTTACTTATTCTCATTGAAAGAAAGGCTAAAATACAAATAAAATCCTGACATATCAGTGCCTTTCCTAATGGATTAGCTGGGGCCCTCTTGAATGTAATTTCAGTCAAATACCTAGGAAACATCACTTTTATGAGTTATAACTGGAAAATACATTATTTAGCTGCATTTCTTAGCATGGAGTTCTAAACAGATTATAACCTCTAGTAAACGAGGAAGATAAAACTGCTTGATATTAGACTTCAGATAGCAACTTGAGTGATGCATAGACCTAATCTATATCAAGAGGTTTTTGCCAATTATACAGTTAGAATAAGTTCTAACTGTTCACCTGTTCTTTAAAAGCAAATAAGTAAATCCCACAGAACTCCACAGTAGTGAATTACTCAGATTACTCAAGAACACACTGAGTAGTTAAACATGCACTCTATACTTATATTGCAAATGTTTTCTTAAAAATATCCATCTCTACAGATATAAAAACTTTCAGAAAGCAACTTATCTTCTCCATTATACTTCAGACCTTGGTTCTAATGTTCTGCTACTTCGACCTTGATATAATATGAATATCTATGCTACTTTATTACAATAAAAATAAAGAATCCTATATTGCACCCTAGATGGTAGATGCACATTTCTTCCTCATCTCTGGTCATCTGCCAATCCTAAAAATTATAGCAGTGGGAAGAAATGCAAATGAAGTCCATGCTTGACAGCTAAACATAATTGGATGCATGATCCATATTTGAAGAGCTACCTTAAAATTAAAAAAAGGTAGCATATATAAGAATTCTGTAAGGTCACCTATGGATTTTAATAGCAGTTATGATGAATTGCATATTTAACCATTTTATTGGAAGTTACAAAGTATATTATCTTTTATTTTGACTATGGAGATAAAAACTTTGCAAATGTTAGTCTAGAAATAGGCATTCTACAGAAATGTGGAAAATATATGAAAAATTGAACAATGTTCATAGGGAAAATTAATTGGGGAAAAAAATCTCTTGACAAAAAATATTCTGTTTGATTTATGGATGATTAGTGTCATCCAGATTAAGGATGATTTATCTTCAGGATTGTTACTTCACTTAGTAAAATTGAACTAGTTAGATGATAAACTAATACAGATTTAGTCCATATGAAAGTTTAGCCTGGGGATAGATACTAAATATTTTTAGCTTCTCAGGTCGTAAAACCTTTAGTGAGCCAGACAACCACCATTCTCTACAAAAAGCTACTTAATTTGATGCTAGCCTTTAAAGTAGAGACCTGAGTCAGATATTATCATGATTTTTTTTTCATATGTGTGCATGCACACAGAACGAATGCATTTCTTTGGGTCTGTTTGTTTTGACTAAATTTTTCTAGTTCATCACTCTGATATTCCCAGGTACTTGGTTTATGCATCCATTCCCTTGCACGCATATAGTACCTGCTCCTGTACAGACAACTGGTCTGAAGCTGTCTTGACATTGCAGAAGGTGTACATAAGTTTACTAGACACCATACTCAATTTTTTCAGCCTATACTGAATCTGCATGTCTGTCATTACAGAGGATGTTGTCAGTTACATAGAGACCCAAGTAACTACAGCCAAACAGGGTATTGTGAAAGGGCTTATTTATATGTGCAAGTTGATCTCTTCTATGAAAATAATCTCCAAAGATACTTCCTAAGAGACAGTTGTTTCTTACCTGTTTTGGGTTTGTAAATCATTTCACCACGCACCATGTGAATTGTGATCATGGCCATAAGTATGGACACAAAAGGGATAAGGAAACCAAGGTTCCTGGCCACAGACTGCTGAATATAAGAGATACTAACAAAGACAACCGCTGAATTTAAGTTAATCAACCAATAAAACCTAGTACACACAAAAAGAGAGTAGAGACAAAATTGGAGAAGCTGAATAATTTAGACTTTACAGAACATAAAATTTAAAACAATAAGTTAAATGCACAAATATAGCAATTGTAGACAGCATCACACATTGACACAGAAGTTGCACCAAATTTCACTTCAATGTTTCAGGTCCATGAGGTAAACAATTAAACTAACTGTACTAGGGCAGTGGAGCTGAACAAATTATCAGTCTGATACCAAAAATATCCTTGTGGATAGGAAGAATTAAATAAATCAGCATTTACCATTTACACTTTTAATATCTGATAATGTAAGATGTATGTATGCAAAATAATGAAACCACATTTTAAGCTTAACAGAGAAATAACAGTGTATATAGCAACCCTTCAATTATTTCCTCTGGTGTGAAATAAAATATTTCCTCCTACTTGGGGGAGGTGGACTTCATATATTTAGAATAGCCAGTGATCTAATGTTCAGGTAACTTGCTTGGGGTATGAATTGTTTTGTAGCTCTGATCTATTGGCCCGGATTATGTAGACTGGAACAATGAGTTGTGTACTATGAATGTCATGCAATAGTTTAAATCACTTGGTAGTAGACTTTCACCTTCGGCCTTAGTCCAAAAAAAAAAAAAAAAGCCTTAGTCCATGGAGGACTTTGATTAAAATATTAATTTATTGTGAAAAGCTTCTGCTTTGAGGATACCCCTTTTCAGATATTGCACCATACTTTTGGAAAATCCTTGGTGTAATATCTTATTTGCAAGACAAAAGGAGTGGATTTGTAGAGCCAATTACCTTGCATCAGGGACCCAGTGTCAACATTATATACATTGAGAATTTTACTTCACTGTTGTTGTAATCTGATCCTACAGACTCAAAGCCTGCTAGTGGCTTGAGGGTACTAAATATATCATCATTGTTGTGGTTAGGTGTTCTAAAAGGTACCCAGATTCTGCACTCTGAGGTCTCCTCAAAAATGCAGTTCTGATACAAATGTTATTGTGAAATGCCCAGAAGAAAATAATTTTATTAGAATGTCTTATGGGAATGTATTCATCATGATAACTTCAGTAGTATTATCCAGGTGAGTTTTAAGAGTATTGTTAATGTTTATAGAGTATGGACTTTTTTTTTGTTTTTTACTTAACAAAACAATGAAGATGAACTTGATGAATGAAAACAGATCTATATTTTAAAAAGCCTTGAATATGTTCTAAAATTGAATTTTCAACACTTTTTGGATTCATTATGAATACTGAAAAAGTATATATTTTGAGTACTGAATAAGTATTCCTGCCACTTGAAATACTATTTGCTTTTATTTTTTAAGCACATCGAGCTCTAACGATTTAAGTTTTGATTTATCTAGACTCAGACCTAGAATGAGAATGGGCGAGTATCCAAGCTACATATTTTTCTGTACTAGAATTTTCTAGGAGGTGGTAAAATTTTTTCAGAAGCACTATGGAATTCTCTGAAAAGACAAGGTGAACAAAACAAACAGAATGGGTAGAATGAAAGAGAAGAGAAGAGAAACACTACTGGTCCCATATTGTCTGATTTTTTTGTTTGTTTGTTTTTCAGCAAATCAGTAAGACAAGACAACACTGACAACTTATCCTTAGTTCAGACTGTATCCTTTGCACTTATTCTCTACTCCTGTAGATACAATTTGTTCAGGTGGCTACAGCCATAGATCATACTAGAGGTTAGACCCAGGCCCTGATGTGCAAAGCAGTTGTCTAATTCCATTCACAAAGACAATAGGTAATTACAAGTTTGTACTTCACTATTTCTTTTATCATTAACACCGTAAATCTGATAAAAAAAAATAGAACTTGTTAAGAACATAGGCTCATCAAGAGTATGCAACCACTCTCTTTTCATCTATTATTTTAAAATTCAATCCTGTGAAAAACACCTACCAATAGAAAACAGGGTAACAATGGATAATGATTATATTCTGAGAGATTATATCAAGATTAAGATCACTAGGAACATAACCCTATTTAAAAAAAATCTTGAGATTGCAATCAAGGAGCCCTTCCGTGGATGTCATCACAAAAATTATTTTATTTCTTTAAAATCACACACATGCCTTTCTTAATATTTCCAAAGCCCCCAAAATTGACCCATCTGGATTCCCCCAAGGAACTTTTTATTCATATTATGTCTCCTTTGTAATCAACACTGAGAAATGTCACTTTGATTAAACACAATTCTGAATGGCTAAGACCACAGTACACTAAATTCTCTAGAGCTATCTTTCAGAACAACTGATTGCTCTCCAGTCTTAATCCCCCAGAGTCTTATTTAATCAAAATGATGTTGCTAATTAAGGATTAAAACTTAGAATAGAGTAAAAAAGAAGGATTTTTTTTCCCATCTCTCCTATGGGCAGGTCAAGGAGGCAGAGTCTGCTCTAAGGAACTAAATAGTCTCATCCACCTTTGGTAAAGCTGCTTTATTCACTCAAGTTTGAATTTAATTCGAAACTCTGATATTAACATAATTGGAGGAAAAAAGAATAGCCAGGAGAGGCATCCCCAAAGTAAGAGAGAACTGATTCATGATCTTCATTGATTCCTCAGCATTATATTGTCAATATGCAAATGTGCTCAGTTTTGATTTTAAAAGTGTGCATGCATAGGGAAGGGAAAGAAAAGGGGGCAGTTTAGAGCTTGTTTCACCCAGCCTTAAAGCAGGAGTCCAGAATTTCCCACTGATACTTCTTTGATCCTCATTCCACAGTTTAATCAGAAGTAAAGGTGAATGTTTAGTGCTATTAAAGTGGTAAATAAATACAAATATATGACCAAAATTGACCCCTCTGACACACAGAGAGGAACAGTTAATCTGAAACAAACAAACAAACAAAAAAAACGATTTTTTAGGAAGCATTCTACCTCCCAGAAACTTTTCTCAAAGTTTTTCTGAAAAAAATATGAAATACTCCAAATGAAACACCAATGTCAAATAGTTTATCTCATGCTAAATCTTCACAGTGGCTGAGCTGAAATAATACAGCAAATCCTTACCACTAATTTTAGTGGTTACAGGCTACTAACAATACTTAGTTCCAATAAACCAGTGAACTATTGCTGTCTGTCACTTCTAAAAATTTATTCTTATGCAAATTTTAATGTATTATTGAATTTTGCCATTGTCAGTGAGTAATAGCAAAATATCCTCAAGATACAGACATGTTAAAGGTAGAACATTGTATTCCGTTTGGTTTTCCTAACAGCAGCTAGCTTATTGAGTCTGAATATTTCTGAATATTTGGGCAAATCAATTCATCCTAATTCCAACTGAAGATTTCTGATAGAGGCCAAAATAGATTATCATCTTTAGCAAAATAAGAACTATAGCAAAAGTTTTTTTTTTTTTTTTTTTTTTTTACATAAACTCTTGGAAATAATTACAAAAATCTAAAGTTTCTGCAGTTTAAACAGAAATCACAAAACAAAATCCACCATCTTGGAATTTGTCTTGTAAGTCTGCAAATAAATTTCAAGGCAATGTATCATTCTCTATAGATATTTAGCTAACATTTAGTTACTAACCAGTTGAAAAAAGAAAGAAGTTCCTTTGGTCCACAGTCCTCAAGGTTGTATGCACTTAACGGACAAACTATAGCTCTTATGCCTCCTATTCCCAGGCTAGCTGTGAGTAGTGCAAAGTAGAATACTATTTTCTGCTCTTTTTTTGTTAGTGTATGAAGAAGAATGTGTCGTCTGTCAATGTAAATGTCTTCAAATGGGAAAGCCACAACAGGTAGCAGTGCTGTGCCTGGAATGGGAAGGAAATTATTTGAAATAGATTAAAATCAGACTGAAAAATTAGAATTTATAAGCAATTATGTTGAAAAGACATGGAAAAAAAATCAAAGACAAGAGATGAGTGCAAAGAGAAAGGGTCTTACTCCCATACAGATCTAGAACCTTTCTGGGTATCACTAAATATAGAAAGACAAGATGACTAAGGGCCTCTGAGAAAACACTTTTCTGCCCCAAATGCTTGTAAGGATTCAGGTCCTTCAATCAACTGAAGAGCTCACTCTGGAAATGCAGCTCTTCACATTGTGCCTTCTCCATTGCCTGCGTGTAGAGGGCAGTAGCTCTCCACTTGGCAGAATGGACCAGGTGAGGCATGTAATTCCCCTGACAAAAAAAAATGAACAGCCAAAAGCCCCTCATTGTGGAACAAAAATCTGTTTTGTGTCTTCTTTAACCCAGACTTTTAACGAGAACTATAATTTAAACAAATTCTCAAATATGTTTTTGTTTTGTTTGCTTGTTTTGGTGGAAGAGGATTTTCTCGTTTTCTGTTGCAGCTTCAGGGGATTTCCCCCGCCCCCCGCAAGAACTTTAGCTATAGAAGCACTGCAATGAATTGCTTTTACCAGCTCTAGACTGCAAAGCAAGTCTTTCAGATTCGGTCAGCTACAGATTCTCTGAGTTTTAATTGGAGGCTAAATTCAAAATATAGCAATGTGCAAACACCATCAATGTTAGTGAGACTAAGACTATAACTGTGCATCAAACAGATCAGAAATATATAATGGTCTATCAAAAAAAGAAGTTTTCATCAAAATTACAGTTTAAAACAACACCCAAAACCATCAAATTCTGTCAGTGTCACTGGTCTCCTACTTCAAGATGCATATTGAAAGGACAAATTGCAGAAGATTCCAACCCAGAAGCCCATAGGGAAAACAAACAAAGGAACATAATAGCAGTCATTTTTACAGGCTGCTTACACAATGGTTTTGCAGTCAACTCAAGGGCACTTGGGAAACTAGAGAAGATGATTTCAGGAATGACTTTTTTCTTCCCCTTTAGTTTGTTGCATGTCTAAACATGGCTGGCTATTGCAAAAGTCACACCTGCTAATCCTCAACAATTGGTGCAAGTAAGACAAATTTCTATCTGCTCAGTTTAACCCAACAGAACAACCACCAGCTGTGAAATGCACTAATTGCTACAGAAGAGTCATACTTAGTTTAAGCAGTGCTCTTATACAAAAGATCTTCAAAAAAACAGGTGGGGAAGATTCAGAATATGTTATCAGAAACCAGACTCTCAATATAGGTATGAGGATATAACCTCTTTACTTACAGCAATGTTTGTTTATACCGATGTGTACTTAAATGCATCTTTCCCACTGGTCCAACTACAATAGTCATATACCTTTACATACAATAAAAATCTTGGTATCAACAGCTGAGAAACCATTTCCAATCTCTCTCTCAAACTGACTTATATCTCACGTTTGCCCCCAAACACTAGTAACAATGTATGCTTGTTATCATGACCAATTTTAAGAAAGAGCTGAGCATCTCTGCTCTGAATAGCTAAGCCAATTCAGAGCAGTAAAGTTCATGCGCCAGCTATCCACAAGGCATACATGCAAATGTTTCTTAGTCTTTTTCAAAATACTACCTCACAAAATGACGTACACAAAAAGCCACAAGACACTTTGTAGAGGACAAAATGAAGTAATTAGCTATTAGCGAAGCTGCCCATGAGGCTGGAGAAAATTATTACATTTCAAACAGTGTTCAGCAATGTTTTTCTGTAATACAATTATTAAAACATTAAATAATCACCGGGCTGTCACCTACCTAGGAAGTGTAGAAACATGCAGATGCACACAAGCTTGGTCCTTCCCACAAGGCATTCAGCAAGCCAGCCAACCAGCACTGGCGTCAACATGGAGGTGCCTACAAAGCACATATTGACAATAGCTGCCTGGTAGTTCCGATAGCCAAGTCTGACAGTGCAAAAGAGGATCATGTTGCAGACAATGCCAAAGAATGTGAATCTCTCACACAGCTCCACCAGCAGCACACAAATGGCCTCTTGGAGTTTCTTCTCAGGCTGAGACACATTTCTAGCATGGTTGCGTCTACTGGGTGTCAGTCTTTGTTCCTTGTCAGCAGCAGCATCCCAAAGCTGCTTCTCTTGAACCTCTCCACTGTCTGCACCAGGCATGCTTGACTTTTTCAGGGTGGACTGAGTAGGGCAGCTAAAGTTGCAGGTATACTTCTGTTCTCCTCCACTGCAATTAGCAAACTGTTAAGGCTCTTGCTTTGAATTCCACACTTCACCACTACAATTTCCTAGGCACCTGTCACATTTGTGACATTACATATAGGATCAAAGAGCATTAAATAAGTAAATGATCTGTATCAACATTTCAATTTCTACATTTAGCAATATTAATGTATTCAATTAATTTATTTAATTAATCCATGTGGGGATGAAAAAGATTTTTCCCCCAAATTATATTACCCTTTAAATTACGTGAATCCAATACGATATGTGCAACTCTATACATATGTTAAAGATAAAGGTCTAAATACATGGGAAAGCTAACATTTCAGTGGAATTCAAATAATAGATCAAGAAAATAATTTGGATAAAATAAGATGGTGTTTTAATTAGACAACAAATGAAAAAGCAAGCACTTTTTTTTTTTTTTTTAAGGTTAACAGCATCTAATCTATTACATTTGTTATATTTGGTTGAAATTCAGATAAGAAAGTTAATTGTAAAAATAAGTAATGCTACCACATTTAAATTAGAGAAGCAAGTTTAAAAGACAGTAAGTTAAATGCATTACCAAAGAGAAAAAGCAATCTGAAAGTAACCTAAACCAAAACTATTTCTCTAACCAGATATTGTGCTACAATGCATTATACAGGACAGAAGCACAAACTACACTCTCAACAAAAAGCAATCACCAGCTTGAATGGAAATTAGAAAGAGCCAAAGAAATAATGCTTTTTAATGCTTCTGTGGATAATATTTTATCCACAGAAAAGTTTGCAGATTTCCCAGATCACTTTTTCCTTTTTATGGAGTTCATTGAGATCACTAACACTTGTTCAAAATAGTCCTAAATATGAATGAGAAGTATTTTGCATCCATTTTGCACAAATATAAGTGCATACAAGGCAGCGGTAAATCAGGCCTGCTTCTCTGAAGAGAGCTCTCAAAACCACAGATGGCATTTTTTAAATATCATCTCTGCTGTTTTTTCCCATTTGTCTATATAACTACTCAAGTTTTACATCCTCAGATCTATTAGGATTTCTACATCCCAAAATAGATGCACAATAGCATATATTCAGTATGGATAAAGACAGATTCCAAAATTACCTCCAAAAAATCTCAGAATGTTGCTGTCAAGTTCTGCTTTACTTCCCTATCTTGTTTCTAAAGCATCCATGACTCAAATGCAAAAAGTGGAAGTTCTGAAACCTAGGCTAAAGTAGCAAAAGATGATTCCCTAAAATAATTACAAAAAAATAATAATATATATACATTTAATCCAATAAAACCTAAAGCTAGAACTCAGACACCAAATAATTTCCTTTTTCTTTTCTTCCCCTCCCAGTATGTCCGGTTGAGGATGAAAATGGCTGTAGCTTGTAGCACAACCAAGAACTGTTTCTGTCTTCTCACCTGTAGATGATGTGATCATCATTTGGACCAACAAAGCAGAGAAATCCAACCTAAAAATCATTTGTAACTCAGTTTAGTTTCTCCATCAAAGCATAGTGAAGCAAACTCTAAATCTAAATACAAGTGACAACAACATTTTGACTAAGAGGCAGGTAGATTTTTTTTTTTTGCATGAAGCTACTCTTATCTACCGGTTCATGAAGAAAAACCTTTATTTATTTTTTTTTTAAAAAAGGTATTATTATATTTTAGAATCAGATAGAAAAAAATGGGATAACTATACTCTTACTCCTATAGATATTTTAATATTAAATAGTCTGTTTTCCTACAAAATAGTTTTCTTTAGAAGTGTAAAGTTTACCTGTTCTCATGGGTGTTAGCAATTCAAACTGAATCATATCATAGGAACCCCTAGAGACAGCAGAGTTACTAGCTAGGATGACTGTATCTTAATTCTCATGTGGTTTCATTTACTCTAATTTTGGGTAGCAAACAAAGGAAAAGGAACAATTGGTTGATCCTTATAAATGCCATAGTAAGGAGGAGCTGGGTGATTTTCATTGTTGTTTAGTTTGAATTACCTTTGCATGTGGCTGTTATAGGTGTGGTGGTTCAGTCACAGATCACAATCAATAAATTAGTTAACATCCTAAGTGCTAAGACCATGTACTACTTCTTAGAACATGATCTTTCTTGATTTATTTATTTAATCACTTTTACAGCAGTTATAGGTTATCTAGTTCCTTGATGTGGTTTTAATTGAGCTTTAGTTTAATCACCTGGCAATCACTTGTCCTTAATAAAAGAGGCAGTAGGACTACATAAAGTAAAAATTCAAAAAAATAGATTCAACCTCCAATGTGAACTCTAAAAAAATAAAAAAAAATTGGTGTCACTTTGGTCAAAATCCTGTTTATTATATCCTTTTTCACAAGGTGATAATGAAACTTCTTCTACTTAAAATCTTACCTTGGACAACCACTTTAGAAATTTTTGCTCTGGCTTACACTGCAGTCTCGGAGGACTACTGTGCAGATAGCCATAAGTCAGTACTGGGATGAGCAGGAACCAATTCCAGAATATGATAGTGTTTGGGAGTTCACAACATCTGAAATCTGATGCTTCTGAAGAACTTTGTGAGCATCGGAAACACTGTGGGCTAATATTTGCCTGAATATTTGCTTGACTACATACTAGAAGAACAAATGCACACAAAACCCAAGTGCTCTGTCAACAATGTAAAAGGTCAATTAAGAAACTGAAATGCAGTCATAAGGAGGTTTAGAAAGTTCATTTGTGAAATCGGTTAGATTAACAAATCTACTCTTATAAAACTGTTTTGTATTTCATGAAGATGTATTACATGTTGTAAAAGTATGCCTTGAAGGCAGAAAAATAGCTTTAATGAAGGAACCAGTTATTACAATTTTTGATCATTTGAGGAATTCTCCGGGGAGTTCTGGAGCTACGGTATCACATCACACTTGGATAACTTTATTCTCCCTTTAGTAATTATTCTTGCAAAACTTTCCACACTTTAATCAGATGCAGCGTGGAACACAAGCCCAGTTCTGCCTTGCTGCAGGAGAGATGTAACTCCTACTGTCTTGTTCCATGGCAACTTTTGTCTGTGAAAGTGCAAGACCAGCATGAGAATTTTATTTATGGAAAGGCTATGTTTTAAGAAGTATATTTGTTTATTTTTCCTTTTGTAGTCATAATTAAATAGGATGTAGGAAAGATGTTTTTTCTTTGTTCTGCCAGAAGGTAACACCCCAAGAAAGTGAATTGAACCTTTCTCTCAGGAATGTGTAGGAGTGCAGAAAGCTTTCTCGTTGTTGCAAAAAGCTTACTGGTCTCTGCTTGTTCTATGAAAGAGTGATGCAGCCATTTCTCCCTGAGTCCTACATATTCCCTAGTCTATTTTTTTACTTTCTTCTTTCCCTGTTCAAGCATGGAGTGTGACTAAAGGATAGAATTGACAGCCAGCAAAACCTCCATAGCTTTTTTCCACAGATTTGCCTCTCTGATTGTGCACAAGCCATGTTTGCTGGGATCTTGCTCTCTCCATCTTGACAACAGAAATTGCTTTGAATTACTTCACAGAGGTGCTAAGGGTTGAATTCACTAAAACTTACAGTGGCCTTCTAATTCTTAGATAGAGAGCATTACAGAAAGACAAAATATTTTTATGAATAAACAATGCTAAGCCTAAGCTGCAAAGGCAGTCAAAGAGCAGACAAGATGTATCATTAAGTACTTAAGCAAGTGCAAATGCAAGAAAGTACAAGATGTGGACATACTGGAGTGAGTCCAGTGAAGAGTCATGAAGATGATGGATGAAGAGAGTGAAGCATATCTCTTTGAAAGAGGCTATTCAGCTTGGAGAAAGTTCAGGGGGATCTGATCAGGGTGGATAAATGTGTGTTGTGGGGGATGTAAAGAAGATGTTTTCTGTAGAGGTGTCTAGTGATGGGACAAGAGGTAAAGGACACAAACTAAATTACAGGAAACTCATTTTAAACATAAATAAAAATTTCTGGGGTCATCAAACACTAGAAGAGGTTGCTCAGAAAGTCTGCGGAGTCCTCATCCGTGGTGATATTCAAAACCTAACTTGACACAGTGCTGAACAACCTATTGCAGGTGATTTCGATTTGGGTGGGGGTGATGGACTGGAGGATTGCCAGAGGTGCTCCCAGCCTTATGCATTCTGTGATTCAAAGCAGCAACACTGAATACTTTGCCAAAGTAGAATCTGAGGAAGAGGGTAATGGAGGCAAGAAAATAGGTTCTTGTCCCATTGCTGGGTATGGCCTAAGTGAATGGAGAGAAAGGTTTCCTAATTTATTATTATTATTATTATTTATTTTTTTTCCCCCAGGGAGATGGTTTTAAAATTGCTGATTCTTGAACCATTGCTATAAATGAGAATTATTTGGCATGATTACCCTGTTCCTTCAAACTGCATATCTTTTATTTTGGGGATTTGGTTCAAACATATATAATTATCTATGCTAAGCAGTTTTTCATATGTTCTAAGGCTCTTGTCTTATTACACCTATTTGACGGTTTTATAATTCAGGAGTAATTGAATTGCAATTATTTTTCATGATGCATGGTACAGTTTTATATCATGTTGTTGGCAGATATTCTTTATGATGTCGTTTGGTCTAATGGGAAAATTAGAAGTAGCTCTATCATATAGAAAGATGGCTTTTTTGTGTCATGTTATAGTTTGAAGATGGCACTCAGGATATTTTCTTTTGACATATAGATTTTTAGGTACAGACTGAAATGAGATTCTAAAGCAGTGTGCACAGTTGAGACAATATTATCAGTACATCCAAGATTATTTCAACTATTCTCCCATAGTGACAGTTCATTTATATTCAAGTCCATTTAGTAGACTGTGGTTAGTGTTCTAAAATACATGTATAAGTAGTACATATTGGGAGAGTTTCTGCACTAAATTCATCCCTGATCCAATCTAACTGGTTTCAGAGAAGCCATTAAAAGGTGTTAGCATCTTTTTTAGGAGCAAATATTCATCAGAATAGGGGATTGGCAGTAGCTCTCCCACCTCACTGAAGAGCTTTCCAAACACCACACTGCCCAGACAGTCTCTTAACCTCTCCTGATGGAGCCGTTACACAAAGAGTAAAGCTTTATGAGTGGTAGGGAAGATGACTTGTAACCTAAAGATTAGGGTTGTCCTCCTGTAATGTGGGGAGAAGCAAATTCAAGGCCCTGTGTCAATGAATAGTTAATTATGTCAACAAAATTAATAGTCCTCAACAGCCAGGAGCAAGAAAGCACCATCCAAGAAAAACACAGTTTGGCACATTGGAGAATGGTAGAAAATAATAGCTGAATGCTAAGAGCCAGCAGAGCATCCTTTTACAAAGGGAAAAGGAATACTTGGAAGTTTTCAGTTTTGTTTGTGAAATAATATTTGGAATCTCACAGATTTTCATGGGATGGGACAGTGGTCATATGAAACCCAGATCATCTGTCCATAAGAAAATCTCATGAACAGATGATCACATAGAAGTTGATAACAGAATGTTTCAGATAGATAGCCATCTTGAAACCTATTTTGTTTCCCTCATCTGTTCATACACATTTCAGCCTTGTAAACTGATACAGGAAAGAACGTCACATAACTTATTTATTCAGCTGCAATGCTACATGTCCAAAAAGCTGAAAACTGTGTGAATTACTACAGACCCTGTCTGTAGCACCTTGTGCGGTCTGGAAGAAACTGGCAGAGCTGATAATGCTTGTTCTTATGAGGGCCAATATTTTCTTCTTATTTTTTTTTTTTTGTTGTTTGTTTGTTTGTTTTTTAATGTAAAAACAGAGTTTTTAGTTTTTATGAAAGGTGCCAGCATTGCCAGCAGGCCAAGGGAGGTGGTCCTTCCACTCTGGTAAGGACACATGTGCCATACTATGTACAAGATCCTCCATTGTCAGAAATTTGCCTAAAATTAATGACATTGAAGTTATACTCCAAATCAGGGGATATATACACTACTAGTGTTTTAAAAATAGCTTTTATTCTTGCTTCTGCATTTTTTACAGATTAAATAAAGGCAGGCAGATTGAAATTTTGTACCAAGCATGATCCAAACACAGATTTTTTTTTTTTTTTCGTTAATGGTTTCAAGATCAATCTTCTAGATGTAGGTCTGAACTGAAACCTTGAGTCTGAACAGGTCTGGGCAGGTTTGGATCCTGATGTAGTCTTCCAAGTGCAGGCACTTCTTTAAGCTTTCTCTTATATTTGGTATTTAATGTAGAAATTACATGCTTCTCAAGTGAGAAGGCACATTTCTTAAGTTTCTCTGGCACACGGTTATGTCACCTGCATTTAACTATTGTCATGACCTTTGGCTGAAGTCCCAGCATACCCAATTAGCAAGCTACAAATAGTACGAAATACTACTGCTAGGATCTAATCCAGTGTAAGGAAGGGTAAATAGGTAGCTACAGCTATACTTTTACTTATGGAAATAAGAAATGAAAAGCTCTGTTAGGATACTATTGACAATACAATTCAGGTTGAGTTTTTCCTGTTTTTAATCCAGTGTTTCTGAAACCCTCGTGAAGAAAAATAAACTCAAATAAAACTTCTATATCTAAAACTCCTCAGAGACTGGGAATGAGGCTTATTCCTCATTTGCAACAGGTAGTTCGGAGTTTCTCCTCTTGCTGTGGAGGTTTGCTTCATGTTACTCCCGTATGGTTAGATGTAGATATACATGCATTCTAACAAGAAGCCTTCTTCCTGCTCATCTTCTCCCCGGATGGCACAGTGAGATAGGGGCTGTGCAGAGGCCTAGATCTCTCCATATTGGCCTCTAGAATTTTTACAGCCTCAAAAATTAGTCCAGTTGTACACAAGAACCTCAGCAAAAGGCAATGTCCTTGGTCCAAGCATGACCCTCAACATGGAACTGGCTTGCCTTGTCAGAGTTACTCAAGCACTTCTAGTTTTCACATAAAACCCAAACAA